TATTTCTGTATACAATCAAGTGAAATATTTTTTTGCATCTATTGCACGCTCTGCTACACTATGTACTCTTTGTAACGCTATACTCTACAACCAGTGCTCTTGAATTTCAGCTTTGTAGTTTCTTGTTTCTGTTGATTAACTCTATTCACAATTTTAACTATTCTGTCGAATTGATTGAACGAAACGAGAACCGGAATAGTTATTTGTAAAAAAAAACAAACAAAATTGTTGACAAATCGAAGCGGTGAAAATTTGCCCAATATTTGCCATCCTGACACAACAATTGATAGAAATTCAAATTATGATTGCATTGATGTTGTGAATTGCATGTATAGTCAACGAATATATTCGTCATATCGACTATACGGTCGCATTTTTTTTTTCAATAAACGCAAAAAAACGTACTACATTTATAGCATAGTGAATGTACATATATTTTTCTATCACTCGAAACTCTTTCCAATTTATCTTTTTGTTTTTTTTTTTCATTTATTTTTTAAGTATTTGTGTACTTTTTCACTTTCTAAAGTATTTTTTTGTATATAAGTATAGATGTATTTTCAAATGTATTTTGGAAATATTTTTTTTTCAAGATCTAACACTTGGGGAGGGGAATCATTGATTCTGATATCTAACACACGGATTTGCTTTTCTCTTTTACACATCACGCGTAGGATAAAATTTTTGATCCGATAAGAAAACTCTTCCTCACGAAAATGCTGATCCTTCACTCTCGGGATTGGATTCCGCGTTAACACGCAAGGATTCGATTACAATTTGTAAGCTGTCATTCATGTACAAATATAACATTATATTATAGAATATTGCAGAACGGCGCACTCTGTTTATTTATATATTTGTATTGGCAGAAATACGTTTAATTGATTCAATTAATATTCATTATAAAGAAAATAATTGTAATTGTATATATATATATATATATATATATATATATATATATATATCATATAATATAATATAAATATTTAATCAATAGTAAATTATTATATATATATAAGAATTTTAAAATAATTATTATAAAGATTCATTATATAAAAAATAACATTATATTAATAATTTTTGTTTCATACACATACACACACGCGCGCACATATATATATAATATATATATATATATATATATATATATATTTGCGCTACACATGCATACATATATAAAGCGAGAGAAAGAGACAAAGAGAAAATTGTCATAAAATTAATGTACAATATAACGTGTCACTAAAGAAATGCCAAATAAAGTGCATGCAATATTTATATATTTCTAATTATTATCATTAAAATTCAGCTGGCTCGTCTATGTTTGATATATTAAAACGTTTTATGTAAATAAAATTACTTAATATTGACGGCAGCGCTCATTTATATTATATATGTAAATTTTTTTATTTATGCTAATTTTATCACGGTAATATTAACGTAAATTGCACTTATGATAACTCCTCTATTTTCGCATTAAAAACTTGATTTTCTTTTAAGATTGTTTCTAAAAATTCTAATAAAATATTAAGAATTTTATTTTAGTAGAAAGATAACTGATTTGTCTCTCTTTCTTTCTCTCTTTCTTTGTCTTTCTCTCTCGAACTTACATACATCTGTGATCACCAAATTAATTTTATTTTTAGATTTTTTCTAATTGTTTTATTTTGATTCGTTAGTTATATGTTTTTTGTTATTTAATTGTTTTAATTTATTCGTTTCATACATTCAAAATATTTCGAAATATTTCAGTTTCTTTTTTTTACAATGAAACATAACTCTCACTCAAAACATTCACGACAAATTATTTAAAAAAAAATCATTATTTAATTAAGTCTTTTTAAAATTTTTGTCATACTTAATAATTACTTGAAGATGGAAGATACTTCGAATCGAGAGTGATTTAAATTTTATACATATTTATTTCTCCGCTAAAAGAATTAATGATAGTACCCATTTAAATTGCAAAGAATATAAATATCCTTACGATTGAAAAGGTTCTCTCTAAATAATAGAAAATACAAATCTCAAGGTAAAAATTATTGAAAGATGCAAAGCGAAGGTTTTGAAACTCTTTTGTCTAAATATCTATTAAATGCTTTTTTTAATCGAATTCTTGAAAATTCAAATTCAAATTAAAAACTTTGAAATTTCCTTTGCATTGTTATATTTTCCTTTAAAAGTCACATCTTTAAAATAAAAATCGAAATAAAGATTCATGAAAGATTTGAAATTGTGTCTAACCAAGCCCTTTTCGTATATTTCTTATAAAATAAACTTATCCTATAGTTAAATTTAAATAAATATGTTTCAATTACTCTTTATTTAATATATAGAACAATTATGTGAATTATATAATTGTGTTATTAAAAATTTAGTTATAGGCAAAAATTATGAAAATATTTTAAACTCATGGAAAACTTTTATACAATATTTAGATCCTTTATGTTAGACTATTTCTATCTCAAATAATTCCTACATATCAAACGATAATACTTTTATATAAAAATTAATTATATTAATATAAAAGATCTTTTTGGTGATACTATCATCTATTAGAAGAGTAATTACTAGTACGCGAGAAAAGTAAGCTGAGAATCTCTCGTCGGAATGCATCTCGTTGATCGCTCTTCAAGAAATGTGAAAGAAATCCTCTTTTCTCCATTCCGAATATTTCTGCTCTGAGAGAACCGGGAAGTTATTAACCTCCTTTTTGCTTCTAATATGCTGCCACTATGTCACCATTCCGCCGACGACGACGTAGTAATTAAAGATCGCCGCGAGCGAGCGAGCGGTATCTCGAGAATCCGCCCGGCTGTTTCATTAGGTCGACATATCAGTCGTGCGATTACCTCGCATCCGTAGAATATCTCTTGCCGCTTTATAATGCTGAGGAATAAAATAGGATAAAGTAATCTTGCGCTACGCTGGCCTCTTTTTAAAAACGATAATGCGCTTGAGATTCATGTAATCAATGTGAATAGCCGTACGTTTCTTCGCAAGTTTTGGTTAAAAGAAGCTTTTCCGCATTTACGATAAAAAGTATGTAAAAGTATAATATAATGTAGTGAAAGAATACAATGTAGTAAAAGAAAATACGATTATAATACATTCTTATAACTTTTTTCCTTTCTTAATCCAGTAATATATGCTTTTTAAATAAAAATAATAATGACTTGATATATACATACATTATAATAGATATGCTTTCTAATTCATATTTAATATTATATAAATAACGAGGAAAACAAATTTTATCAGTGGAAACAAAATTTAACAGAAATGTATATAATTTATATTATTATATTATTTGTTTTCTCGTTTCTTTTCTCATATTTCTTTCATCGAATTTTTTATTTCTTCATTGATCTTTTTATTAGATATTTTCATATCTGCGCGAATATTGTTTTTTATTTATTAATATACATTTAATCTCTCTTTCTACATACATATATCTCTCTCGTTTAATTTTAGAATATATTGAAAGTAATATTGAAAAACATAAATTTCAAATAGGAATAAGATAATTTAGAATTGGAAATTGAATATAAATGTCGTTCGTGATGATGCATTAGTCGCAAGACTTACATAAATTGATACATTTTTGTCATTTGTGGAAGAGTGAAAAGATACGGATTTCGCTTTTGGTGAATTTTGATGCTTTTATTAGACACATCCTGATATCGATCTATTCTAACTATAGTTTCAGATTCGACAGGGATCTATTAAGAAATAACGGGGTCTCGTATAATTATGGCTAGCTAAAGGTGATTGTATTATACAGGGGTCCACAAGCAAATCCTCTTAACATCACCTACAATCTATATATCCACTGAAACATTTAGATAGTCTTCTCTCTCTCTCTCTCTCTCTCTCTCTCTCTCTCTCTCTCTCTCTCTCTCTCTCTCCTTTCTGTTTGAAAGTTCCAAGAGCTCTTCGCGTATTAATACCTATCATATATCTCGCGCAAGTGCGTTAACAAGTACGTTAACAAGAATATCGCATATTCGAGTTTAAAGTGAAAGCTTAAATATATTAATCTTTGATCATGACTGTTGATAGCGTTCTAAAATTTTCACGAAACGTTTAGATGATATTGTCGCAGAAATTATCGATGACATGTATGCAATATTGATATATAGATTCAATATTAAAAATTAGAGCTATTAAAATAAAAATATTCTAACTATATTATTCTTTTAAAAAGTCATTTAAGCGATTAAATTACGCACGCGAACATTTTTCGAGCTTTTTGCCGACCAAAACGCTAGTTGATTAAAATAAATATATTTCATCGATCGAAAGAATTTAATAAATCTGATAAAATAAATCTGATAAATTGCGTTCTTGATACATACTATATGATACATAATTTTTCGTCGTTTTTTTTACAGCGATGTAACTTGATATAACAAAAATCTTGATGTGTCAAAAATTGTGCTAAACCGCTCGATAATGCTAATTAAATTATTATCACACATAGTAAATTGGGCTTTTAATCCTCTTTATCATCTCGATTGACATCGTTCCTGCAATTGATATAATTCACACTCGGATCAGTAAATGCAATCATGGATGTACGAAAATTAACAGTGATTCGTGTACAACTACCGAGGGACAGTTTAGTGCAAGTTGGACTGAATTGTGCGGAGAATAGGAGAATGTTCAAGAGACTAGATTCAGAAATCGAGGATGATGATTCTCACCCTGCAAGAAAACATCTACAATAATCGCACATCGTAGGACGACCGTATAGTGTATACAAAAATATATTTGATGTATAAATATAAAAGAAGAAAAGATCCTAAAAGAGATATTTTAAAGAATAAAAAGTATTAAAAAAGAAAATGAAGAATAACTTAAGAAAATAAAAACAAATATACAACAAATATACAAAACAGATTAAAATAAATATAAAAGACAAATATATACATATGTGTACATATTAAGTTATTTTTGGCAAGAGAGCGACGAATAAAATAATAATATTATACAATGTAATATTATTTTTATCATCACAAGATGACATCGCAATTATATATCTGTGGTTAAACATAAATAAATCAAAACTTACCTCAGCGAAAAAATTAATGAAACTGATTATAAACGAAGACAAGAAACGTTTTTGTAAAAAATTTTGAAATATATTAATCAAATATCCGTTAACGTTCAAAATGCAACAAAATATCAATCAATAAATCCTGATTAACTCGGAATTCAAGCAATGTTGAAGAAGCCTGAAAAGTTTTTCAATATATAACAAATATCAATCATTATAATATTTCATCTAATTATTTTTTTTCATCACAATGACGAATTCTAAGGAGGGAAAGTCAAGCAATTCGCGATGATCACTAAAAAATAATTCACCGGACGATCCTCCTTTCTATCGTCACGGACTTTCAATCACCATGAAGTTCAAAATGTACGAGAAAAAGAATTGTTCTTCGCGATATAAACGGTGAATCACATTAACATTTTCACCATGCTGAACGTAATGGCGGCTATGTCGACGAAATTACCTCAAATAGAATCTACGTCTTCGTCGATCCTTGTCAACAATTCCATCGTCGCCATTAGTTCAACGACAACCACATCGGTCGCGAACGTGACGACAGAAAATCCGACGGTGGAGAACCTTCCCGAGAATGTGAACGTGCCGTTGATGGTGATCAAAGGTGTCATCATGGGCGCCATCATCATCACTGCGGTTCTCGGCAATATGCTGGTGATCGCCAGCGTTCGGAGACATCGCAGACTCCGTGTGGTCACCAATTGTTATGTCGTCAGTCTGGCGGCGGCCGACCTGCTGGTAGCGATGTGCGCCATGACCTTCAATGCCTCGGTGGAACTCTCGGGTGGCAAATGGCTGTTCGGGGCAGTTATGTGCGATTTATGGAACTCGCTGGACGTGTACTTTAGCACCGCTAGCATCCTTCATCTCTGTTGCATCAGCGTGGACAGATATTATGCAATAGTGAGTCCGCTCGAGTACACAGTGATCATGAAACAGAGTACTGTCGGGTGCATGTTGGGTAGTGCTTGGGTCTTACCGGCACTGATAAGCTTTATTCCGATCTTCATGGGATGGTACACGACCAAGGAACATCTGGATTACATGGTGAAACACCCGGGGGTACGTGAATTTTTTTCTTTTTTTTTCTTTCTTGTAAGAGTTATGAATGTGCGGAAAATGTTCGTTGACGCATAAAATATTTTAAAATGTTAAAAAAGAAAAAATGAGAGAGAGATCTGACAACTTTGTGAATTTTAAAAATATCTTAAAATTTTAAAAATTTTAAAAAGAGATTAATTAAGCCTAACTTGAGGCATTTAAAAAATTTTATGATTTTATTTCACTGTCAATGAACAATTTTTGTGAACTTTTCACATAATTCACATTTAGATATCTGTACTTTTTATCATTATATTAATTTATCAACCATTAAAAAGATTGATCGTTTCTCACGGATTGTTATTGAATTAATGTTAATAATTAAAACAATTTTTTTTTCATTCTTTCATATTATTCCAGAGCTGCGAGTTTCGAGTGAATTTACCATATGCGGTGATCAGTTCCTGCGTGTCTTTTTGGATCCCGGGTCTAGTAATGATCATCATGTACTGGAAGATTTACAAGGAGGCGATCCGACAACGGAAAGCTCTCAGTCGAACGTCCAGCAACATCGTGCTCAACAGCGTGCACCATCATCGCTCGTCCACCCGGCATCATCACCATCAGCAGATGTTGCTGCAAGCCGCCGCCGATACCGGTGAGCTAGCCCTTCACACGGCACACTTCACGGTGCCCACGGAGCTCCACGCCGTTAACGGTGAGTGGAACTCCGTCCGTCTGTGTATGTGTGCGATAAACAAGCAAGTAGCTCGCGATAATGCAATATAAAACTTTATCGACAAATAATAAATACATCGAACGATTTCAATAACCGTGCGATCTTCAAGCAACTTGAGCTTTTAGTAATTAAAAAAAATTTAATTAAAAAAGAGCTCTCTTAAAAAAGAATACATATTTAATATATAAAAAGAAGATAAATATTTGTATTAAAAATCTGTAATAAAAAATATATAGATTTCTTTAGACACCGTTCAATGTTGTGAATTAAATATTCGAATTCTAAAATGCCAATGTCTTACCTGTGCGAAATTTCAAACTCAACCTGTGCGACGGTGTGATAAGAATTAAAATATGACGGGCTGACATTTGCATGGCAAGTTTCGCGCGACAATCGAGACTAGAAATGCGTATTCTCGCGCTATGCGACTGTTGGCGTAGTCGCATATTTTGATGAAAATGTTAAACGCTCGCTCGTGCGAAATCCGCTTATCTTCTTAAGCCATTATGCGAACGCGAAAAAGACACTCCGAGTATGGAATAACGAGTAGAATTTATGGTTTCCACAGTGGGATATTTCGCGCAATTCCACAACAAAATGCCGTCATCTATATATGCCTTCACTAATAATATCCTCTCCGATTGATGATCCATCTCATCGGCGACATCAATTTGACATAATCGATAGAGCGGTTTGATAAGAGTATTCTATGCAATTATCACAGATATAATCATTGATAACATCATTGTACAATAATATAATAATAATAATAATAATAATAATAATACATCAAATATTTATAGAATACTATTAATGTAGATTATATAAAAAATAAGATAATATACACATTCTCTTTCAAAGAATATATTAAATTATTATTAGATTATTTTACGAAAAAATACAGACAGTAAGATGTTATATTTAAAAAAATGGATATATTTTTTCAGAGATCTTTAAGGACATGTATCTAGTTGCTTTGCTCAAAATGTGAGATTTATAGGATGTAAACTCTTTAACGCGGTTTATGCGATGATGAGAGCGGTTTGTAATTATCCTATGATTGGCAATCGAAAATGGTAGCGAGCATTATTCGCGCGGGAAAATAGGATTTCGTGGTCCATTAATAAAATCACGGTTCCAGCTATTCTCATCGACCACGGATATCATAATAATCCGTGCGAACAGATTTGATAGAAATATTCAAGACATTTTCAAATTTATAGGAGTAATTTAGTGATTTAAATAATCATGAGTTGATTTAAATAATCACTTTCCTTCGGATTTTTATCTTCTAAAAAAAGTAATTTTGGATAATATGATTTTTTTTTAAAGATAAAATAGTAATTATTAAAATTATTATTACAAGAATATATTTAGATTTAAATATATTTAGAAAAATAATTTAAAAAATATTCTATTTAAACAATATATCTTTTATTTATAATCTACACTAAACTTTTTAATTTTTCCAATTTTTTTCTCTCTCTCAATATAGTATATAATATAGAAAATTTAGAAGATTAATACATATAATTTAAAATTTTGAATAGAACTTTTGTTTCTTAATTCTTTTATAATCTAAGTATTCTAATTTTATTTCGAATTTTATCTTTTTCAGATAACATCTACATAAAAATTAATAAAATTTCTATCAATCTTAATTAATGATAAAACTTTGACAGAATTTGAAACATAAGGATTAAAATTAATAATAAATAATAATTTTGTTAATAATAATTGTAAGCAATTTTAATAATTCTGATGATATGATATCAACCTATCGAAATTGTTTAAAATTAAAAGTTCCAGTGACATGGATCTAAATGAATAAATAATAAATAATATATTTTTTGGTTAATGGAAATCGCGCATAATTTCGATAATTTGAATAGTTGAACATGAACATGTACGTATATCTACTTTTATGAGATTATATTCCGCGAATGGACTACCTTCATACGTACACATACACATTGCATGTATATATGTAAAGTTAGTTCATTTGTGAAATAATGCCGAAATTAGCTGCCAACGCTAACATACATTTAGACGATTAAATATGTGTTTCTACACATGCTTCCATAAAGTCCCAACTTTTCCCACTATCAAAATTGTATTTTGGAATAATAATTATATACGATAATGAAGGAAACTTTTCTGACTCACGAGAGTCTCCTAGTTTTCTACATTGATTTAATAGTCAAATCGCTTGGGATCATTTTATGTTCTAGTTTTAATTTTCTAGTTTTAACATTTCTATAATTTTATAAAAATAACTAATTTTTATATTTAATTATTATGTTTTCATATTTACTAACATTAGTATTTGTATAAACAAGTTATATGTTTATTTATATAATTACTTAATAATTATTGAATAAATATTGAATTATATCAAATAAATATTAAACTCAAAATTGATAATTATACACATTATGTATTTACAACAATTTTTTCATATCTTTTTTTTATATATTCAATATATTTTGATTTTACATTTTTTGATTTTTTATTTTGAAACAATTTTTTATTTTAAAACAATTCGGTTTTTCAAAAACAAAACAAAATTATTTGTAAAAAGTATTCATTTGAAATTACTTTGCTACAAGTATGATCACTATTTTGTTAATCAGAGTAGGAGTTATTTTAACATCAAATTATTACGCGACTGTATAATATCGACGTAAGTTTGTGCGATAAAATTCAGTCCGTGAAGTTTTTTGCCACGATTTACATGGTTGTAAAAATCGTACAATTGTGCAATTATTCAGTAAAGAGCAAATTTATCAGTATGCTTAAAAAAAATTAGATGGAAAAATTTTTATTTTTATCTGAAAATAAATTATTACATATCTTTCAATAAATAGAAATTGTTAAACAGATAGAGACAAAAAAAGGCGAAAAAGAGAAAAAGGTATGAAGCTACACCTCTGAGATTGGACCTTTGCGGAAGAAGTTTGAATACGGGACGAATACACGGGAGAGTAATCAACAGATTTGCATATGGCTCTAGCTCGTTTCATCGGGCGTTTTCATTAGCGTAGGGCTTTTATCTCAGACTTGGACAGTCTGAAAATTCAATTAAATCCTATCAAGTCTACGATGCTTCCGTGCCAGCTGTGTATCTTTTCACTCTTGATAAAAGAAAAAAATATCATTGAGATTGGAACTATTTTTGTTGGCCTTATCTAAGAAAAATCAGTTTATTTTTTGTAAAAGAGAAATGAGTAATATAAAATATAAAAAATTATATATATATATATATATATATATATATATATATATATATATACATGAATAAAAGATATTATATAAAATTACATTTTGTGTATATTTATTAATTGTATAAGCGATATAATTTTATTTTATAATTTATTAATAAAAGCGATATAATTTTATTTTATAATTTGTGCCTTGTTTTTATTAGAAATTGATTTTTTAAGTCTTTATCAAGAGACACGCTTTTCGATTAAAGGATCGTCTACATAATATTTCCAATAACATTTTCCAAGAATAATCAACTATTTATATAAAAATATTTATAAAAATAACTAATTATTCTTGAAAAAGATTATCGGAAATATTATGTACACCCTTTACATAATTGAAAAATATGTCGCTCTTGATATAAAGATTTTAAAAAAATTAAATTCTCTAAAAAATATTTAAGAAGTACAAATTAAAAAAATTAAATAATATTATTTACAATTAATAGATGTACAAAATGCGATTTCATATGCGTCTTTTATTCATAATTCTCTATATTTTATAATTTTTACTTCTTTTTTGTCATTTCTTTACAATATATGTTTCTATTAATTAATTATTTTAAAACAATATTTTATAAAAATATTCTATATTTATTGTTCGATTTATATTATTATTTATTTTAAATTTATATGATAGTACATATTCGAATAATATCGATGTAATATAATTATACTTAATGTTGACATATAATGAAATAAAAATGCTTTAATTAAATTAGAAATTATTTTGCAATCTTTGAGGCAACAAAAAATATCGTGTAGAATTATACGGAGTAAATATTCATACGACAAATATGAAATAAAATTATAATAAATATTATCGGAATGGAATAAATAATATGAAGAGAAAAACATTCGCACGAACACAAATTATATTATTTTTGCGAATTTACATTGTACAAAGCGAAACTCTTGATGAGACAGCTGTTGCCATGTGTTGCAAATCTAATAGACCTACGTGAAATCCACCACGGAAAACGGAAGATATCGTAAATATTATCGGCGAGGAACGAGAACCAATATCCCGCCCGGCAATTTCCGAAATCGGAAGCTATTTCCCGAACAGAAACCCGGACTAAAACCACTACTTCCTTTCTCTCTACCCTTCCTTCTTCCTTTCTCTCTTGCTCGAATTTCGCAAATAATATCGCGCAAACCTCATGAAACAAACCTCATTAAATTAGTTTCGGCGAGGTATTAATTGGGTCGCTAATGCGTTATTAAGGACATCGATTGTCACAGGAATTTCGCCTACGACGACGTAATATCCCAAAGTTCGGCGAATCAAATGCAATAAATTTAACCCTAAGTTTATAGTTTAATCTCGCATTCACATTTTAAAATAATAAAAGACATTAAAGATTCTAAATCGATTTTTATTTGTAAATTTGTGTGTAAAAAAATTCTTTTTATTTTTGTATTCTATATTTCAATTACTAACATAATTGTATAAGTAAAATAGTCAGTTTCATTATTTTTATTATATTTATTGTATTGTAGTTTAAAATATAAGTAGTTTATTATTATATATTATTCTATTTTATTTAATTTTCTTATTATGTTTTATTAAATTAGAATTTTTTTATCTAAATTTTTTCATTTTATATTATTTTACTTAATTTTCTTGTTTTATCGTATTCCCTAAATTTCGAAATTCTATCCTTAAAATATATCGGAGTATATAGAATCTTCTTAAATTGAAACCGTTGT